GAGAGAGCGCAGCCCACCGAGCTCCGGCCCCCTCCCCCCTTTCTCTCTCTGGCCCGGGCCTATGCGGCCCCCCAGAGACCATGGGATCCAGGATCAAGTGAGTGCCCCCCGGAGCTCTCCAGCCCCGCTCGCAGGCCCTCAGGAAAGCGGGAGGGCTCTGGAGAGCGAGAAGGGGGCTTGCCCGCCCTCCTTCCAGCTCCCTGTGAGGCCGCGCGGGCGAGACCCCGGCCGAGCCTGCAGGCCTCGGGGGAGGGCGAGAAAGAGGGGGAGAAGGAAGTGCCCGCCAGCCCCAACTCAGCGGCAGGACCCGGGGCGGGGAGCTCCCCGTGCCCCCTGCCCTGAGGAGGGGAGGAGAGGAGAGCGTCGCTTCTCGCCCTCAGACCCACACCCGGTCTGTCGGGCTGCTCTCATGCTCCCTGCCTTCAGCCCTCACAGGGCCAGGCTGTGAGGGCAGTTCGAATTTTATCGGTGCAGGCCTCGAGGAGGCTTGGGGCTGCTGGAATGGGAAGGTCGCCATTGCCAGCACTGGTGACGTCTGTTTTGGGGGTGTGGTGGGGTCGAGAGAGTGCAAAGCCTCCTTGCCGAGGTTCAGGCATGCCAAAGGAAAGATAGATAGTCTAGCTATGATATCTTGAAAGTGCATTAGCAAGGGGATTTGGGGGAAGGAGAAGAGTGGTGCAAGTGATTATCGTGTTGGGCCTGCAGCTCCATGCCCTCAGTAGTTTTTAATTTTCATAACACTGGGGGTTGATTTGTTGGTAAGCCCTGTTGGTATGTTTGTTACTGTCCCATTAAAGATCTCAGTTCATTCATATGCCATTCCAGGCAAATTCAGTTCCTCTGAGACAGGTAGAGGTGTCATAAAGCTATTGCCAGGCAGGGAGTGCTGACATCGTTGTGCATGAAAGATGTGATAGAGTGGGGAGATCCGGTTAAATTGTATTTATTCAGCAGTTTCAGTAGGTGCTGTTAGGAAGTGCTTTTCCTTCTTGAAGGCAGTGCTCTTCAAGATTACATAGGACTTTAACTTTCCACCTCTTTTGTTTAACTTGAATATGAGGCTGGAGGAGACAGTTTGTGGTGTTCTTAGTGTGATGACACATCTTCATGTTCTCAAGCCTCTAGGCTGGAATTTGTGTGTCTGTCCAGCCAGGTGTATTAGGAAAAAGTAAGTGGGTAATAAGTGCTTGTAACGATAGCTCTGAGGTGATTGGTTGGTTCCAGAAAGAAACCTTCCTCCTCCAGGAGGTAACGTGGGGATAATTTTTGCACTCTTCTGGCATATGGGTTCTCAACTGTTGCTGCAAAAAATCAAAGTCTTAGAAGCTAGTTGAACTCTTAGCTTACATTCAAATACAGGTAGAATCTAAACTTGTTACTCTCTTGATAGCAGAGCAGGCTATATCTGTAACGTGCACCTTTAGATCTTGCAGTGCTCACTCTTGTTGGGTCACTTCAAGGTTATGATCTGAAATGACTTCTTATGATGACCTTATCTTAAATCTACTAAAGGCTACTACTAAAAGGCTCATGCTCACTTAAAATGTAGTTTCTTTTGTGTACATACTGAATCCACAAGCTGTGTTTACCATCTTTGGGTTTTTGATTGCTAATTTAACCTTTAATGGCTTTGCATACACTTTGCTGAATGTGGTCACTCAGATGAGACGGTTCAACTGGAAACGTCAGCAGTATCAGAAGTATTTATTACAGCCAGTGGACTTTAGGACTTTTTCTGTGCAAAGTCTTTTTTCAGTGTGAACATGTCTTTCAAGATTACAGACAAAGCCCGCGTCTTTCTCCATCACTAGGAAAACACAGGTGATAACCCCGTATAAGCATTACTTTTCATTCCTCTTGGACTTTGTCAGAAAGCATTTTGTTCATTTTGTGATTAAGCAACTTTGCCTTGAGCAACAATTAATAAATTGCTTTTTTTCTACTCTGGACAGAACACTGTGCCCAAGTAGAGTAGGGACAAGATTTCAAAACAATCTTGAAATACGTAAAGAATGAGAGAGCCTGAGTAAGAGGCTTTTCTGGTCTGCTCTTCTGAGCTGGATGTTTAATCCAGCAAAGATTTTCAAGTTGATAAGTAGCTCCCTTATTGGGGCAGGTGGCAGCGTGAATGAGAAAACTATTTTATAATTGGGTATACAGAGGCATGCCTCCTTTAGTGGTGTCGCCAATATGTGTTGGAGCCTTAGCAAAAATCCAGTAGTCAGGTCTCTTGCTTCCTGCTATAGATTGATAATTATGAGGGATATTAAACTCCTTGGCACATGATCACTTGCACACACTGTGATCTACTCTACATGAAACCTGGCCATATGTGTCAGTTATATTTTTGATGGATGTATAGTAATGAGTCATTTGAGTGAAAGATTGCTTAGAGGAAATTATCAGTTGCTGCATCAGACTGAAGTGAAAGAAATCAAGAAGTTGCCAGCAATCCTGTAAGCTTTTGGCTTGTGTATAGCTGCAGGCAGAAAAAAAGGTAAATTGAGTATTGGGTTACACTGTTGGGTTAAGCTTCTTGTTGGAGCATGTCGTACAGTACATGCAGGGCACTCTGTGCCACCGAGGCAATGTAAAATAGGAGTCTAGTTAACTGGGCTGCTATAAGAGAGAAAGGAATTTTTTTTTTCTTTTAATAGTGTGTAATATCAATCTGTTCAGCAGAATTGCATTGCACCGAAAAAAACTTGGCCTGTTGCTTTCCAGAGGTGTTTGTATTTCAGCGATGACAGAAGAGATCCCTAATATTAATCTCTGAGTGCTTTCAGATACTTAGCATAAAGTTTGCTATATACTGAAATGTAATATTATCTACCGAGGGAATACCAGGCAGAACAAGTTAAATATATGGAAATTAATCAGGGTTTGAGCTGTAATTTCCAAATTGAATTAGCAATTAAGAGATTTCTGCTAATAATTTTTTTTCTGTAAGAGTTGATCACTAAGTCTTGTTACAAGACTAGTTATCAAACAGTGTCAAGCGCCTCTTATGCCACAGTTTTTAAGTAGAATGATACTTTCTGTTACAAGTGTTATTAAATTTTCCTGTGTGTAGGAAAAAATGCTCCTGACAGAATTGAAATAGGCTTTAGATATGTAAGGTATGTAGTCCCATACATACAGCTTCGGAGAAGGACTTTATTTAATTTTATTCTGCACAAATCTCTTACAGTTTGATAAAAACTAATAATTTTGATTGTCAAAGGTACATAAATATCTTACTTAAAATATTATATTCAATGTAAAATTGGATTTCTTATGGATTGCTTTGATACTAAAGGTATTTTTACATCAGAGAGACTTGAAGTAAGTCATACAACTAGCATTTATCACAAAAGCATTCTTTTCTCATAGAGCTCCTTCCTAAATTTCTGTTTCCGAAAAAGTATTGCATTTCCTTCTGAAATTACCCAGTTATCAAATAAATGGGGTACTATGTATTTTTGTACATATATGTCCGATGTATCTTTTGAATTGCAGCTATGTATTTACTTGATAACTGACCATGGGTCTTTAAGTGATTATTGGGAGGAAAGAAAACTTTGTGTGTGTGTGTTTAAGGATATAATGCTGTGGATGATTTCAGTGGATGGAGGTTTCAATACAATGCACAGGTGGCTTTAGATGTCTGCAGGGTAGTTTAATAGTCATAAAAATGGACTGCAAAATATATATATTATGATGCATGTTTATGCTATATTTGCAAACTGTATGAAGTCTCAGGGACTTGTTTCCTTAATTCCACTGAAAAGTTATAAAATATTCAGAATTCAACAATGACTTCATTCTCATACTGAGGTGTTAGCTTGTTGAATGCAGCCTTTAATACTAAGTTTCTGACTTGGCAAAGCTACTTTAATTTCACTGTTCATAGAAATAAGTGGACGTTTGTCATGGAATATTAAAATACAAAATGTGATGTCTTTTTGTCTGAAAGTTTTGGCATACAGTATGTGCTTTTGCCAGCTGTGTTATACGGTGTTTTCACTAAAGAATTTGAGCACAGACTCTAACATAATACTAAAAAGGTGTTTGTTATTTTATCCATTAGCTGTAAAAATATTATGAAATTTATAAATTTTAATTAAGGAAACAGGGTGCTAAAAATAAAGACATAAACAAGGAGGGTAAGATAAGGCTGCCCAGCAATATATATATGAAAGGAAAAATATAATTTCTGGTGTTATGTGGATATCATTTCATCTTCATCCTGTACCATGATTGGAGGAATGTAGCTAAGAATCTCAGTATTTGAAGCAGATTATATGCAGGAACTCTAAGTAGCACAGAGAGAATTATGCAAGTTTGTTTTATACTGCAAAATAATAGTTGATTTGTTGATTTTGGATTTCTCATAACTTATTAATGTAGGTTTCTGAAAAACGGCTACTTAAGACAAACCATTTGGGAACTGGTGGCAAATTAAATTAACATTAATTGAATTGTGAACCATTGTTGCTCCTGAGAGGTGCTCTGTAAAACTGTAGAGTGTGATCCTGTGCTACTGAAACCAATGGTAGCTTTTCTGTTGATTTAAATAGGTGTGGGGTTTGGCTTAGAGCCACTTGAGTTACACTAAGTGGGCCTGTGGCGTGGTTAGAAATGTTTTGTTTAATCCCTTTTGGTGTTAAAGTAGGATTAAAAATAATAGAAATTCTCTGAAGAGTAGGCTGAACTCCTTGACATGTTTATATGTTTGGTTTGAGATGCTGGGTAAGATGAGGTTCATTTTTAAAATTATTATTCAGGTAGGAATTCTAGCGCATATATATATGGGTTTTGTCAGTATTTTCATCCTTAGCTGTAAGGGAGCTAACAAAATGCACAAGTTAATTATATCTCAACAATTTTCTAATGTTGGATAGTTTACATTAACACATAGGAGACAATATTATCACTATATAAGCAGCCCTAAATTTAGAGCAGTAATTATGCAATTTTGACTCTTGGTTTTAACCAGAAAGTCTAAGAATAAAATGTCACGTGTTCAGACTTACAGAATTCTTGTTTCAGTAAGTAAAAAATTACAGTCAAATAGATGATTCTCTTTAATCTCATAAAAATTTTGGCATAGCTAAAATTGTTTGAGACAGGAATTTAACTGAAAATATGCTTTCTTATATAATCACCTGATGCCTTTATGTGCTCCTTATGGAATGTAATTCCAGGGCTTTGTTTATGGAGTTATATTAGTAAGAACTGAAAATGTACACTAAAAGTTTGGATTTTTTTAAGTCTTGTATCATGAACTTTTTACTCTTATTACTGGTATGTTTATAACTCTGAGGCAGAATAAGTCTCTTTACTCAAGCTTCATTTACATTTTGTAGCTGTATTTGGTATTATTTTTGAATATTGCACCTGTTTCCTTACTTTGCATGCATCTGGCACCTTTCTGGATTAAGACTGGAGTCTCATGAGGTGAAACCTTGTGCATTTGTAATACTCTTCAGCACGGCCTTTTTTTTTTGACAAAGAGATAGAAATATTTTGACAGGTATTAAAGAGGGGAACTGTCTTCATGCTAAATACAGCCTCTTAAGTTTTCTAGTAATGTCTGCATAAAATGACTTTGCATCCTCTTGACTGCAGCTTCTTTTTTTTTTTTTTTGTTCTTTTTCCTGAGCAAATAGGTGTCATGAAGTTGAACTCAAGGAACATGGTAATGAAAATGTGAATCTGGGTTGTTTGTTCCATGTTGGACAGTGTGACTATTTTCAGTTCTGTGAAGGGAAAGGAGTATTCAGTTTTGGTTTGGGTTTTTTTTCTGAAAAAAATCCCTGTATTTAGCACATAGATGATTTACTTTCTCATTTGAAAGTAAGGTGAAATAAAAAGAACTCGCTTTTGCAAGTTGCACGTGTAATCAAAGTTACTATTGTGGCCAAGAACTGAAATAAGTGTTGCTTCTCTATCTGAGCAGCATTCTGAAAAGTGATATAAAAGGCATGGCTTTATTTTTCTGGCAAAGTTCTGAATGATAGGCCTGTGATATTTTAGTGTCTAGAAATGCAGACTAGTCACAACAGTTGAATTGACTTAAAGGTTCTGTGTGCTTGGTTTCTATTGTTTTGATTCTTTTTCTTTCTCTGTAGAAGTATGTTACACACCCTACTCATACTAACGCAGCTGAGCTTCAGTCATATCTTGTTACATACTGTAAGGCAGAAAGATCTAACGTGAAATCATCACAGACTATAAAACAAGAAACCTAGTTGATCAAGTTGTCATTGTAATGTGTGCATTCTTACAACCCTTTTTGACTGAATAATTGAAAGCACACTTGAAAAAACAATTCTCAATGTGCTAAATACTTTTTTTTTTCTTTCAGACAAAATCCGGACACTACCTTTGAAGTGTATGCCGAAGTAACCTATTCAGGAATCAGTTGCATTGGGAAAGGTACTGTTTTGTACTATAATTTTACCTATGTATTGGCTACAACTATTCTTAAGAACCATGTATTGTGAGCTAATGAAGTATATTTAATATTATGCTCTTCTAGCTTTTAAAGGTATCTTAATCACTGGTTCTGTGGAATCTTCTACAGTTAGGACTAGTAATGCGAAATTCTTGACTCTGTCCCTGATTATGGGCAATTTTCTGATTTCTTTCACTGTCTTGACTTTTTTGTCTTTTACAATAGTAATAACTTCATTAGGTTGAAAAAGTAAATGCATATTTGTATTTGTTTGCTGCTTATATAAGGAATGGGTAGTTTTCAAACAAAAACCACTCTAAAACTTCTTGTGTGGAATGTATTTTTACTTCCTCTTTCTTACTTGTCTACAGAAGTATTTTTATCTGTTCCCAGAATTCTTCCTTTGATCATATGATTTTATCTAGAAATAAGGCTTATGATTTGGTTAACTATTTTTACCAAACTTCATTATCAAGCTATAATTGTAATGTATTTTTCTATAATATTATTTCTGACAAGTATTCTTATGTTTATGCTAGAGAAGTCCCATAACTGCTGAAACCAGCCTGTAAGTGTATTTGTGAATTTTTTTATTGCATTTTGTTCTAAACCCAAGGCACTTGATTGAATAAGCAGGAAAAGCAAAGGTTGAAATTTGTAATCCCAGAATTTAGTTCAGTATATTTTTTTGTGAGGTCAGGCTGTAGAATGTTATGAAAAGGAGGGATGTCAAAATTAAATAATTATGATTAGTCAACATATACTGAAGGAATATTTCTTTTATCTTTTATGAAACGATCATGTTGTATTGTATATATGGTTTAATGAACCAACAGAAAGGATTTTTATATTTATTTACTGGAAAGACACTTATGTCCTTTTCTATCTCTATTTGTTTGTTACAATCAGCAAAAGTCAGATAGCTGCAACTCTTTCCTTTACTGCCAAAGCCTCCATAGGAGTTGTAACTGGAATACAGTTTTGGCTTGTCCTACTGCTATATGCCATCACGACTATTTGATGTAACTGCAGGAGCCCTTTTAATAACTAGTCTTTGTTTCTGCACATCTGACCTGGATTCTAGTGCCAGAAAATCTGAACAAATTTGACCATAAACATTACATTGTACAGTACTAGTGTCTGGGTATAATCTTCTCTTTGAAGTTTGTTTGCATCCCCCTGGAGGGATTAATTCCCTGCTGTGGGAAGGTGGGTTAAAAAGCACGGAAACGACTTTACAGGTTTTTAATTGGAGAATTTAGTATACATTTGTTCTATAAACCAACTGATTCTGTGGGAGTTTCACTTAGTTGTGTTTTTAGGTTTGCTGTATGCACTTGTAGGTGCAAAATCTTCAGAAATTGTTTTTAGTGAGTAAAAAAATACTTTAATAATTGGTTTTACAATTAGTCGATTCAGAAATTATTAATTCTCTCTGAAAAACCTTTTAAAATATTTTTCCCAGCCCATTTTTCTATATTTAAGAGATGCCCTTATTCTCAGAAATCTTAGATTTTTGTATCCCCAAATATTCTGTCCTGTTCTAAAAGAAGGTGGTTGGTTGGTTCTCTGCAGCGTCAACTGTATTTAACAGCTATCCCAGGCAAATCATCATTCTAGAAATATAGACCTAGAGACCTCCATGTAGTCTTTTCTACCTCTTGGCTAGATGTTCTATGCCAGAAAATCAAGAATAGATATCAACTTTTTTTTTTTTTTTTCAGTCAGGGAACGTATGTTTTATGGCAAGGAGCAGTCACTCTTAAGAAAAGCAAAATGTATGAAGAATAAATTATCAGGCATGTTTAAAAAAACTATTTCTTACCATGTAATGGATCACAAAATTAACTAAGACAACTGTTTTTGAAGTTCATGTCTAGTATAACAGTGCTATTGATCACTTAAAATGCTCTTAATTCTTATATCAGTCTTCTGGCATGGTCTTGAGGAAAATGAATTGCTCCAAAGATATAACAGTCCTAGTGTGGGAGATTGTCTGGCCTGTGGGATGGTAGAACATGCCTCTCTTTTGTTTTATTCAAAAGTTTGTGTAACAAAGGATATTTTCCACGTGACTGTTAAATGTCAACTGCAATGAAAAGCTTTAATATATTTCATAATTCACTTGTATCTTGCTGAAATGCAAGATACTGACTCGTGTTATTAACTACTGACAGACAATTGTATCTTCAAGTAGCTCATGTTAACAATCTTGCATTAAATGTTTATTTGGTTAATAACTTCTGAAATTAATGAAAGCAGTGTTATCCATTGACTATCATATAGAAGGCTCCCTCTTAGTTGCCAAGACAGTTGACTGCAGAAGGAAAAAATCTGTTCCGGGCTCCCAGACAGACATCAATAAACTGGAACATTTCAATGGAGAGCCAACATGGTGAGCGAGCTAGAGCACTTGCACTGTGAGGAGAGGTTGAGAGTGCTGCGCTTGTTTGGCCAGGAGAAGACTTAAGGGAACCTGAATAGCAGCCTTCCATACCTACGACGAGTTCATCAGGATGAGATATCCAGGCTCTTCACAGTGGTGCATGACAGGACGACAAGAGGCAATGACATAGACTGAACTAAGAGGCGTTCTAACTGACTATCACTCCATAAGGACGGTCAAGTATTGGATCAGGTCACTCGGAGAGGTTGTAAAATCTCCATGCCTGAAGGTTTTCAAGACCTGACTGGATCACAGCTTGCACAACCTGGTCTAACCTCATGCCTGGCCCTTCTTTGAGAAGAGGTTGGACTAGAGACCTCCCAGGGTCCCTTCCAGCCTGAATTATCCTATGATCCTAAGATTTGATTCCTAGAAATGTAAGCTTCGGGAGCATCTGGAGGATGTATTCTTAATAAGGTATGAAGAGAAAACTTAATTGAAACCAAAGTAGTTGAAAAAGCAAACATTGTTTTATTCCAATCCAGGCAGAACTCTGCCAAACCGCAATGAAATGTGTGAACTGAGAAAGGAAATGATTACTGGATCAGCTCAGCTCTGGTCCTTCTGTCCTTTGCCCTCTACATTTTTTAGAAATAATGATCATCTCTGCTCAGCACTGGTGATTTGTGTATTTCTGGTACATGAAGTCTTTGGTACGTTATACAATTCCACATTGAGTTGTATTTGTGAGTTGTGCTGTGTTTGTGCTTTTCTTTGTTATATTCGTAGATCTTATTTGGGGACTTACAGATTTTTCTTACTGGGTCACTTTATGTAAATGTGGTACTTTTGTTTTGAGAACTGTGAAGCACGATAGCTGCAACTGTGACTAAAAACATTAAGATGAATATTTGTTATTAAGGTATTTCCTTAAGAGAAGACAGTTACCAAGCCAGTTTTTTGCCTTATGATTGTGGTTTCTGTGGAAGCTGGGAATTCCCCTTCGCTAACTGAATCTAAGTTAGTGTGTGTAGTTTTTCTTTCTTATTTTTTTTTTTTAAAGAACTTTTGACTTCCTAAAATTGAATGAAAATACAAAACTGCTTTTATCTTAACTTCATTTCCACTCTTTTTTTTTAATTTTCCTTTCAATTTTTTATTTGGGCTATCTGGAATTCAGAATTGCTTCACTTAACACTTCAGTGATGCATTCATTTATGTTCTACTTTTCAGTTTCACCAGATAGCACTGTTCTCCTGTCCATACCCTCTTCTGATGAAATGTTGATGCCTGTTCACCAAAAGTGTAGGGCAGCAAAATAAAATAGAAAAAATGGAGTCTGCATCTTTACAGTGACAGTGCATGGGAGTTACCTAGTGAGAAATCTGTGTTTTGTGTGTCAAGTGTAAGTATGTCAAGCGTAGGAACTTTGCAAGTCTAGTGCTTCTCACCAACTCCCACGCGCTTACTTTCAGGAAGACAGGAGAAATAGTCATGGTTTTATTTTAAAAATGGAATATTATTACAGGGAAAATATTGACTAAAACTTGTAGTGCTAATACTTTGATTCTTTCCTTTGTAGTATCAGGTAAGTACTGGGTAATGACTGTGACTCAGAGGAAAAGGTGCAGTTCCAAGGCTGATAGAGAAGCCTGGCTAATAGGCTGACTTAGGTTAAATAATCTTAACAGGGGCCTTTTGTGCAGTGGTGTAATTGGGATGGAGTAAGATGCTAACACTGTACAGATACACAACCAAGTCAACTCTTTGACAAGTATGGCTGGTAACTTTGGCTTTCAACCATGTGAGGTGAATGGAGAGATTGTTAGGACTTAAAAAAAATTGATTCCTAAGACAAATTCCAATTCACATACAAGGCTTTAATAGCCTATGTGTGGGGTTTGTCTTTGCCTTTATGCATTTTAGTGCTGTGTAGTACACAGTAGACAGTAGGAGAATTTCTAACTTCCCTTATCACTTAGTTAGAAGGAGGCCATCTGCCTCACTAAATCCAGGTGTATTGCTTTTAAATAATTACAAACAAACAAAAAGTTTTTAGATTTATCATTATTATTTTAGAGGTTTCACTAATACAATTTAACCTTGCTTCAGGAATTAAATAAAATAGAGCTCAAAAATCATAGAGTGGAATAATAATAATAATGTAGATTATTGCCCAGCAGATACCAATAATATATTCTGGACGTCATCTATAGTTGCATTAGTTTTGCCTTTCTGCTGTGGTACTTAGTAATTATGACTTGGGAGAAATGAGTAGGTGTATGTTTCAGATGACACTAAAATAATTGTTATAGCACTTCTGAACACTACATGCAAGGTTTAAGGTCTACCGTGGTTTTTGTTAGCATACTGTTTTATGTTATGTTTCATTTTACTGTTCACCCTGATTTAAGAAAAATGTTCAAAACCCAACTTTGTTTTCAGTGCTTTTCATACTCGATGATACCAAAATCTTTGCAGCAGAGGGTGTCTGTGCTGTTTTTTTCATCACTTATGTAGTGGGTGCTTCTCAAATTCAAGAAGCTAAAAGGGTACCCATTTAAATCTTAGCTGGAAATGCTGAGTTCTCTCGTG